GAGAATTTACGGCCGCCATTAATTTTCCTCGTTCCAAGTCTTGGTTGAGAATTGGAGAAAATGACGTCATTTTCTCAAAAATACCGCACGGGTTAATTATAATAACAATTAGCCGCAATTCCCATAAAGAATAACAAAAACTCTGGCTCATATATTTGTGCAATTTTCCACATGAATTGTTATTATAATTTCAACCCGTGCGGTATTTTTGAGAAAATGACATCATTTTCTCAAATTCTCAACCAAGACTTGGAACAAGGAAAATTAATGGCGGCCGTAAATTCTCAGAAATAAAGGTCCAAAAACCATGTGTTCTAATGTTCGTAATAAACTGAAATTTGCCAAGATATCTAGGAAAGACCAATTGTGTACGAAAATGTAAAAACATGGATATCAAGAATTTCATCATAGTGGCACTTTAAGACTGGAGTGGGATGGCAGGACTAAGCCAAAAATAGAGGTGGGATGTGGGATTGAAAAGCCTGTTTTATACCCTCAAAAAAGTCTCATTTCAAGAAGAAATGCAAAGGCAAGCTAAAAGCCTAATCAGGTTTTCTGACTTTGTCTTCTAGAACTGTCTAAATTTATTTTTGTTTCCCAACTTGCAAAGTCTAGAAAATTATCATTATTCAAAAGCAAAACCTTGTACATATGTTTCTATCCTGTCATTTGAAGCCATTAAAAAAAAAACTTAACAAATTTCATTGAAATCATCAGGGACTTATTTTTAAAAACAATAACAAATATAACAATGTTGTGTCTGGATGCAAAATATAAGTTTTCTGATACAACACTGCAATATTCTCCATTAGTATTGCAGAATGGCTTTGTTTTAGAAAAAAAATAAAACAGCCTGTATGGAGCCAGTTATACCCAAAGCAGGTCAGGGCATTTTGCATGCCACACAGACCTGCTGAGAAATTATTAGCCTGGATCGAAGCTTTGTATTGCCGGCAGTCAGAGATTATCAGTCTATTTCTTATTGCGTTTTATTCACTTGCCCAATAGTCTGGGAAAACAGACATCCCTTGCTTATTTCTTGTTTGTTGATCTCTTCTGTAAGAGATGGATTTTATGCGAAGGATACTATAATCAATTACAGCGAAGCAAATTAAGGGATACAGTGTGGGTTTTTTAAGGATCAAATTTGAATGTCAAATGCCTCCCTCGCAAAGGGTGGAATTAGTGATCAGTAAGACGTCATTTTCTCAAAATGTGTACAACCTATAGATGTAAAATGGCACGTTACATCATAGATGATTAACTATGAGGGAATAAAATTTTGACAGTAAAAAATGTTTTGAAAACAATAATGAAGTTGTTAAATATCACAGTGCTGTAACACAACTTGATGTATTAAAGCACTACATAAGCGTTGAATATTGAATGGAAAGTAAATAACAATATATTTGAACCAAGAAAGACAGCAGTGCAGTGAAAAGTACTGCGATTTAATCTGTGAAATGAAAAGAAACAGGATTAACCATATCTATAACAATTTTATCTCACCTTAATCCTGACTTTTGTCGAAGTTGGTGGTCGTTTTATCATCATGTAACCATACTTGATGATGTCTTCAGCTTCAAACACACCGTAAATATTATACTCAGCCATCGTTAAAACATTACCATATCAGGATTTTCCAAAACCTGGGTCAGGGAAAAAGATAATGAGATCAGCAAAAACAGGAAATAACATCGCTAACGAAATACGTATGAGAAGGGGTACACAATGTACGTCCTGCTAGGTCTAAAGGAGGATTTAGTTTTGTTTCTGTCGTTCCCAGGAAGCGACAAAAACAGAAAGACGAACTTTGAATCACAAATAAAGCGAGAAATGGTAATATGTACGCTACTTCCGTCACTACTGCAGTTGCACCTTTTGGTAGAAATAATATCGTATTCAAGACGAGTGAAAATTGGTCAACAGCCCGATGAGCCCATTCAGAGCAAACAAGAAGTCCATCATTTCACAACAATTATGTAGACCGAGCTGCAAGGAAATAGCAAAGACGACAGCTTAATCCGCTTAAATTTTTGTTTTGACCGTTCATTTTTATACCGATGACACGGTTCAGTGGTTTATGGAGTATCCACCCAGACAGAAGTACATAGCGGTTGAAATATATTCCGAATATTCGCATTTAACACACCACCAAAACACGAATTCTCAATTTGTCAACCTGGTCGACCTTCATCTAAATTTCCTTCTTCTACTTACCTTAGCGGGACGTAGAATTTATTTAAACAGCAGTCTAACGTGATCGCCATATATAACGTACATTTATAATGACTGCATGCAAGTCGGTCCAACTCATCCTGCATGTATGAATTAAAATTCTTCTTGTATTTGTTTGCGCCGATGCAGGATTCTTAAATATGGAGAAGCATACAATTTGGAACCTTACAAAAGAGCTGATCTTGATTTTTCACTTCCGTACCAGTGAAATAACTATCGCGTGTTGTTAGGAATTTGATGCAAAAACCGCAAGGAAGTGCGAATTTCCAATACTCATCACGCATCGCGTGGAGCGGACGACCAAGAAGTCATAAAGTCGTTTTTATAGTCCAAAGCATTTAAAAACTTCAATAAAATATCATGTTACCGCTATTTAAATTACTGCTCTTACGCCCCGTTGATTAGAAGCTTTAACTATGTTGTCAAAAGCTCAATAATTAGTTCGCTTTATAAGACTGCCACGTTCGCTACAGTACAGCAAAAATTCATCCAGCTGTAAAATGAGCGAACCACACGCAAGAATTAAGACTCGATAGCTAGCAATACTCACCGTCCATTTTGTTGCGGTCCTAAGTCAGAAAACGAACCTTTCACGTTGACAAACCGTACAAACGATAACCGCGATGACTCTGCTGTTCTTGGCATAGAAGAAATTATTAGTGTTACTGTTTTTGCCGGGCCGCTCTAGATAGATCTAGATCGAAGGTAGACTAATGAGCATCGAGTTCCATCATTTCATAGTTGCCGGTGTCCAGTAAACGGTCGTTAACCCTACATTTACATTCTCCAGCATTTGCGCGTAGTATAGTGGAAGACTTAACGATCGGCTTTAACTGCAGAGAACGCAAGATGACGATATGAAAGGAGATTTTCGATCAGAAATCAGCAGAAATCAGCAGAAATCAACTCTTGTCAATTTATGGCCAGCGCGGCAACTTCGCCACTTGTCAACTTGAATTTCTGCACATTACAATATCTTGAGCAGTAGGTCTCGGTCGCTCAACATTTGGACAACATAGCTTGATCCCCTCTACATAACTAGCTGATTTCCCAGCTGTCAAAACAACAAAGCCCATAAATTATTGTCAACCTACTCACTCCTCTGAACATGTTTCCCACTTTTTTCAATCAGAATTGTTGCCGCATTGCATTATGGGAAGGCCTAGTAGCCACGTCTCTTGTGCGGCAAATCAAGATGTCGGAACGAAAAGTGTTGAACGTAAGTAAAATTTGGATTTCTTGTCCTTTCTTTCCTATTCCACAGAAGATCACTGATATCAAAGTTATATATCCAAAAATGTGTTCACTTAAAATCTTTGAGCCTGTAAAAAGAAACCACAGTAACTCATATAATGGTCTTTGTACCTCAGGTAGCTTCCTCAAATGTCTTTGACGATCTTATAACCTTTAAACCCCCTGTACTTGTCACTGTGTACTAGGTAGTACTCGCTGCCCATCCACTTTATTCCCAGTGGCACTTAAGACCCTTACTCTGGCTTGCCACTGTCGTCTGATACATGCCGCAGCATGTAATGATTTTGTTATGCAGTATTTGATATTTCAGTGTTGCTTCTGAGTGAAATACAAGCACTATCCTGAATTTGCTTGATTTGCAGCTTTTTCAGCTTATAAAAGATATTAGGGAGAGACAAGGCAGCTCTCCTATCCTGACTTCTTAATTCCCACTTTGCAATTGTACTGTATGACACAGGGACCTTTCTTTCATTGTTGTCAGGCCTTCGTTTTCCACAAAATATTGAAGGAAATGAAAGGTATTCTGAGTCCTTGTCCAAGAATATCCCTAATNNGAAATAGTCGTGTTCACGTCAGTGATTGTTTTGTGATAAACAAAATATAGTTCACCTTGTCGCTTATATTTGTATGCTTACAAGTAATGAAGAAATATCTAAAATTGAGAAAACACACCTTTAAAATATCTACAAGTTTCTCTAGTCCCTGACGGCCAAGTCATTGCTCGACAAACGCCTCGTCTTTCCCGATGAACTCATCCATGGCACTTACGAAAACACATGTGTCAAATGCCTGGGGGTCGCACCGGGGTACGCAAATGCCCAGCCTCAGGGCTGCGATAAAATTGCAGATGCCCCACCTGCAGGACTGACAACGCGAGCAAATGCCCTGCGGTTACCTGAGGGGGGGGGGGGGATGGGCACCGCTGGAATTGACTGATGCATTACATAACCACCAAGTTTGGTTACGTGACCTTTGCCTTGCGGCATATGGTGGTGTTGTGTTGTAATGGTTTGACTTTTTTTGACGTTACACAGGTTTGTATGCGGAAAAACAGTAATCGACATCATAGCTGGAAAAAAAAAAATCTAGACAAATGTACAGTCCTTACTCAAGGGGAGCAAGATTGATAGCTCTAGTTTTCTCCATATTCTCAGATCATAGCTCAGTGGAAACCCCTTATTTCCCTTTTCACACCATTATAGAAGCACATTTGGCAGTCTGTGAGAGGCAAAGAACATGTTAAATGTGCAATCTAGTTGAGCCTAGTGGTATATAGTGATAAATTATTATTACTGTTATATACATGTATTCTCAACTAGACTGCAGGCTCGATTATTGTGTAGTATTGCTTTTAACACTTTACAGACTAATCCTTACTACATGGAATGATTTTTGGACAGACTTGGACTGGTAACTGTTGATTTAAAAAAAAACAACAACAACAATTCTGATGTGGCTAAATGTAATTTAGGCGAGGTTTGAGTCAAGTCAATGTTGGCCAGCAGTCTCTCAGGGGAGCCATGCTCTGTGGGGTCTCATACAGGGTTTTGCTGGGCTTATGTATTTTGCTTGTCAGCTTTGTGAGATCATGCAGTTTGCCTTGAGTGCCAGTTGTGCTTTTGCTTCTTCACCTCCCTCCCTTTCACAGGTGGCAGTAAATGTAAGTATATAGGGTCGTAAGTGTCTCCACTGACTCTGTCAGTGTGACAGCACCTGGTGGTTGCTGCTCTCAGGATTACCATGGATACCTACATGCTCTGCTCGAGGCTCATATTTTGGCTGCATCATCCCTTAAGCATCTTTCTCAAGCTCATCAATCAGTGATGAGTTTAATAAAGCATTATTTTATTCCTGGTGTTCTGTAAGAGGGGGATGGTTAAACAGCTCTTCCTTATTTAATCTACAGAAATACTACCCACCAGATTTTGATGCATCTAAAATCCCTAAGCTTGGACTTTCCAGGGATCGTCAATATGTGGTGCGACTTATGGCCCCTTTTAACATGAGGTAGGTGTCTCAATGTTGACCACTGAGAGTTATTTTCATCAATCAATTCAATCAGTTTCATTTCACTCTCAAGAATACACGCCAATGAGAAGCTGCAATTTTGTAAGCATTTTATGTGCTTGTCCATATGTACTGGTTTTAATGTCCAGCTGACTGGCAAATTGATCAAATTCATTTTGTTCCTGTGGAGATTTATAAACAAGTTCTTTACTTTGTGCCAAAACAAAACTATCAGTATTGAAAGTTCTTATGAAATTTCCATGTATCTAATATCATAACTATTTGTATAAAATTTAAACTATATATTTTTTCCTGTTTAGGTGTACAACATGTGGTGAGTACATTTACAAGGGCAAGAAATTTAATGCCAGAAAGGTGGGTGCAGGTAACATTTAGTACTGATAATTGTTTCAAAAATGTGTGTCTGAAAAGTCTTATGTCATCATCATACATACCTGTACATGTACACATAGCAAGATCATTATTTACAGTGACATCAGTAAAACCAAGTTTAGGCAGAATAAATCCATGAGATATACTATATGGTGACAAAATTCCATAATTGACACCAGCTCAGTTATCCTTAAAATATAGTTCTCAGCTGTGCGACTTGTGATTGTCACACTTAAGAAGTGCGACTTTCTTTTGTTTTGAAAGCAAGTAGAGTATTAAGCAAATATCACCATAGCTTATTGACATTAACTTGACTTTGTTGCAGGAAACAGTGCAGGGAGAAACCTACCTTGGGCTTTTGATATTCCGATTCTACATTAGATGCCCAAGATGCATATCGGAGATAACATTCAAGGTAACCGTATGTCTTTAAAAGACAGCCTTGTTCTTAACATTTAGCTTGTAGAACTGGGCCGTATCACCAAGGGAGAAAGTGATTCAATATAGGACAAAAAATGGGATTCCAGTTTTTCAAAGTACTTAGAGAAATGGAAGTAAGTTCAAAGCGAGGTTAAAAAATTAAAGGTCAATTTATCCTACCTTTTTTTCAATGTTTTTTTTCCGCATAGTTTTAGTCTGGATTGAGAAGATATATCAATCACTCAAGACTGTGTTTTTCCATATTTTGAAACACTTCAAAGCTCATCAGTCTCCACTGTATTGCATATTTTCAGCTCTCTTTCTGGTGTTTGAAAGTGTGGTCAGACGTGGTCATTACACCTCAGTTTCTTCAAATTGTCTCGAACTTCCATTCCATGTATTTTGGTCATAATAATGATAATGATAATGATAATGGTAATGGTAATGGTAATGGTAATGGTAATGGTAATGGTAATGATAATGATAATGATAATGATAATGATAATGATAATAATAATAATAATAATAATAACTGATTAATATTGTGACCATGAAACCTTGTACGTGACTGTCTATTTCATCCTCTTCCTTGATGATTGTAGACTGACCCTGAAAGCACAGACTATGTTTGTGAGAATGGAGCTACAAGAAACTTTCAGGCTCAGAAACTTATGGAAGATGAAGAGAACAGAAAACAAAAGGAAGAAGAAGAGGAAGAGCAAAACAATCCCATGAAGGTACAATACTTATTAAATTGAAGGATTTGTTGGAAAAAGGGAAGTGACTCGCGAAGTGAGTCGGTGTAAGGGTTGGTAGTCCTTCCAATGATAGCATGACTGAATAATATTTCACAGTTGGTAATAATCTCTGAAGTTATCCCTTTTGCAACTGTTGTATTATGTAGTTTTTTGTGTCTGGCAAATCCTTGGTTCAAATTATAACATCAACATGATAAATCGCATTTTGTAATTAGATATTCTTCTGAGAAATTTTAAATGCAGAGGCTAGTAAATGTGTGCAAGTAATGGGAAGTACAAGACATAAAGTCTTTTAGATACACACTGTGCTGAGTTTATATATAAACAACATAATGTTTTCAATGTTATTTTCATTGACTAGATATTGATTTTCATTAGTTTGAAACTAATAAATGTGACACCAGCTTGCTACAGAATACAAAATTAATATAAGCTTCAGGGGGAAAGGAAAGCCTGAAGTTAAGAGTTCAGAATATTTTATTACAGAAGTGTAATGATTCTTTCTTAATAGGGGAATTTCATATTTCATGCATTTCTGATAGGCTCTTGAGAAGAGGACGAAAGAATCCAAACAGGAGATGGACATTTTAGAAAAGTTAGAAGAGTTGAGAGATCTGAACACAAGGCTTGCTAATGGTATGTTACTTAAGAAAGAGTAGCTAGTACTTAGACACATTCTTGAATGTTCAAAACTTCATTTAAAATTCCGAGGCTCCAAGTCATAACTCTGTGAAATTCTTTGCCTCAAATCTGACAATCTTATTTTTCTAAAAGAGCAAAATGTACTGAGTGTATAATATCATATTCAACTAGTGATCAGTACATTTAAGTTTGGTTTGAGCATCGGTGTACTTAGTTAATGTTTTTGTTTCATTTAGTTGATTATGACTCTTTATTGGAGTTAAATGCAAAGGCTGCTGAGCAAATGCGAGCTAAAGAAGAAGAAGAAGATGAACAGTTAGTACAGTAAGTACAGTGTAGATTTGTCCTTCATTACCTTAACCTCATGTCATGAGTAGCAGAGGTGTTTTGTTCTTTTTCTCTTTTTGTTGCAAGAAAATCAATAAAATCTATAGCAAGCACCTGCATGTGACCTTATATATTATTTAGCACATAATAGTTGGGACACTGGTTCTTGAAACAGATATATATATAGAGATGTGTAAACGATGTTGGTTTGCCAATGATGATGCCTTGGAGAAAAGGATCCAGTGGACACAGAACGTTTCTTCTTTAAATAATTATAGGTTGAATAAACAGAAGAAGATGCGAACTTTTCTCATAGGAGGTCTTTAATTTAAGTGGACGTTTCGCCCATTCGGGCTTCTTCAACACTAAGAATATCAATACTCGGAATAAAATTTACAAAAAGTGGAAAAGCCTTAAATAAGTTACAAAACAATAACTTACAAAGAGAACAAAGAAATAAAACATTTTTTTTTCACATAAGATTACATAAGAATTATGTAATAATAAAAATAGTAAAACGCC